GCAAAAGGTTCTTCTTTCAATCTGGTGGGATCACCAAGGAATAATTCACTTTGAATTCTTACCACCTAATGCAACAATTAATGCTCAGATATACTGTCAGCAATTAGAGCGTTTGAACCAAGCTTTGAGGAAAAAAAAGACCTTCTCTAGTGAATCAAAAAGAGGTGATGTTTCATCAGGACAATGTGCGACCACACACAGCAAGAATCACGTCACAAAAGATCGAAGAACTTGGTTGGGAGAAAATTCCTCATCCACCTTATTCTCCCGATCTTGCTCCTTCAGACTCCCATTTGTTTCTTAGCTTACAGAATCATTTGGAAGAAACAGCTTTTGTAACACAGGAAGAGGTTAAAACTGACATTTGTGAGTTCTTCGAATCAAAGCCAAAAGAATTTTACAGTAATGGAATTAGTAAACTTGTTAATAGATGGAAGGAAGTCATAGATAATCAGGGAAAATACATTGTTGATTGAATCTGTAATTAAATGTAACATTTGGTCACTTGTTTTCTTTATTTAAAATTCGGACAGAACTTATGGGATGACCTGATATATATATATATATATATATATATATATATATATATATATATATATGATATTATATATATTTTTTTTGTTCAGGAGTTCTCTTTTTTATATATTATTTTTTATTTTTTATATAATTTTTTCAAAAAAAAAAATGATATATATTTATTTTTTTTATCCATTTCTATATATTTAGTGTCCTTTTTCCTTGTGTTGTTTATTGACGAATATTTGTTTTTCTATTCTACCCATATTAAATATTATCGATTCAACCATTTTTATCTATATATCTTTTAGAACGTATAAGTTATATTTTAAACTTTCTAGCATAATAAATTCGTTTAAAACACTTTCAACTTTGAATATTTCTTGGTGGGTATATGTATGTGTCTTTTAAATTTGTGTAATATCATCGCTTATATGTGCCTTTCATTGTATGTATATGTTTGTCATTTTTTTTTTAAAAATAAACTCAGCACCTATTTCCTGTCTCAGTCGCTTTTTTTTTATGTTTATATATCTAAATATTCTGTCTAAATTTGTATTTTAATCTGATTGTGTATTTATTGTCTTTTTTAGTCTTTTCATCCTCCCTTTTTCTATATCTTCATATCAAATGTATCTAAGTTGTAATGAAGCTCAAACAACATTAGATTTTTTCGTTTATCCAATTTAATTTTTGGCTTTTCAATAAAAATAAATAAATTTTTGACATATGTATTTTTCCTCAGTTTCTTCTTTTTAAATAATTTTTGGTTTTTTTAACCTTTAATACAGATTAAATTTAAAAATTGTTAATTTTGAATTTTATAGTATAATTTAATATTTATTAGTTAGAATAAATTCTATTTTAGTCTAACCCAAAAATTTTTTAAACCATTAAATAATTATTATAACCAAAGTTCGTTGTCAAGTTTTTTTGAATTCTCATATACGTGTATTTTGATTGGACATTCCAGATTATGTAACAGTGTTTCCCCAAGCGTTATGTGTTGATTGATTTGAACCTTTTAAAACTCTTTATTCTACATTCAACACCATCACTTGATGTAATTAAACAAAATTTTATTTTTCTTTGATTTTATATCATAATGATATCATAATTTTCGAATAAATTTGTTATATATATATATATATATATATATATATATATATATATATATATATATATATTATATTCAGGCATTTTAAGCTTGGAGGAAAATAAATATTTATTTAAAGAATATCTTATAAATAAGGTATTTTCTATGTTTGTAGAGTAAAAGATAAAATTTTAGTAAATACAGCATATTTACTTTTATTTTTCAGACTTTCTCCAGGCACCTCTAACTACCAAAATGTTCGACTTTGGATTTGTTTGTCCACAAGGCATTTTGAGAAATTAAACAAAATTTTATATAAGAAATCTATATATATATATTTGTGTCTGTGCGTGTTTGTTATTCCTATTCCATTATAAATTAGGAAATCATGTATATAAATGTACGTATTATGTATGTGTTTTTTTTGTGTGTGTGTGTGTTTTTGTGTGTGTTTATATGTTTGTATGCATTTTTCAAATATGTTTACTAATTCCTCGTAATTAGACTGTGTGTATGTATGGAGATTTATATTATATAAACGCATGCTGACAAAAAAAAACAACAAAAAAATGGAAATAGATCCAAAAAAATTCAAGATAAATTTAAAAGATAAGAATGCAAATTCATTTCCATTTCTTTCACCAATCCTAATTGTTTTATAAACCTTCACGCATTTTTTTTTCACTTCCAGTTCAAGAAAGACATTTTGGGTAAAACACACTAAAAAGAAAATGTCTTATATCGAGAATATTTAACATCGAAAAACATAAGAAAAAATATTTTTTTTTTAATATGTGGAAAATTCCAAAGCTTTTCCTGTGAAGGTCAAATAAGACCGAAAAACCCTGTTGCAAAATTATTTTAAAATAAAAATAATTTTTTTAAAAAATCCACATTACAAGTTTTTTTTTGGAAAGTTTTCTTCTTTTTAATATACACATTTTTTTTCTTTTAGAACTACTATAATTCTTCCTTTATATATATATATATATATATATATATATATATATATATATATATATATATCATTTAATTAACGCTTTCTTTAAATTTTTTTAAATTAAAAAAAATTGCATTCTTTGATTCAGATCGAGTGAATCATGAAAAAGATCAATTGTCGTTCGATTTTTTTATAAAGACATTCAATAACATCTGGATAACGCATAACTGGAAAAAATTCGCCTTTCAACAATCAATGATCTAAAACACTCTTCGAAATTATGTAAAAATTACTTCGAGTCAATAAAACAAATAAAATTTTGGGAATTTTGTCTTAGCCGCCTCAACCTCCTGTCATCTTATCTATTGAATTAGTATTATATATTGAATTAAATAATAGGCATTCAGAGAAATGCCCAAGTTAAAATTTCAGTGCTTGAAGGATGCTGGGGAAGCTCTGCCGTATACATTTTAAAAAATTGTTGAAAAGAATGCCAGTGTTTGTAAAGTAGCAATTAAAGCAGGTTGTGGTTTTATTGATGAAAAACAAAATATGGTGCTTCAATGTATTTAATTTTGTTTCCTAATTTTCATTTTTTTGGCAAAATAAAAGCAAATAGTTACTGAAATTTAGGTTTTTCTTTTTAAATTTTTCTTCCTGTATTTTGTTAGAAATTTTTTTCTTTCTTTTTTTTATGTTTCAATTCATATATATGTATATATATATATATATATATATATTTATATATATATATATATATATATATATATATATATATATCCTAGATAGATAGATAGATTTAGATATAGTTTTGTTTCGATTTACCCACGCACACAATATTTCTCTTTTCTATAAATAAGAGCAAAACTGTCTTTTTTGAGGGAAGTTTCAAAAGTCAAAATCTCTTTTATAAATCAAAACAAACATTTTGCATTATTTTTGTATCTCTTTTTTTTTTTTTTTTTTTTTTTTTATATAAAATATATATATATATATATATATATATATTTGTTTTTTTTTGTGACTTTTTTTTTTTTTTTGTTAAATAAAATGTTTTTTTTTGAGTAACTCATTTTTTTTTGTTTTCGTTTTTTTCTTCTTAAAATCAATTAAAACACACAAAACACACACACACACACACACAATATATATATATATATATATATATATATATATATATATATATATATATATATATATATATATATATATATTTATATATATATATATATATTTCATATTAATATATATTTATTTAAATATTTTAAAAAATAAATTTTTTATATATATTTTTTTTAAACAAATTTTTGGGTGTTTTTTCTTTAAAAATGTTATACACACATTTTTTTATTCTTTAAAACAATCTTTTTTTTAATTATAATATTTTTTCTTTTAACAAAAGAATTTTTTTTTAATGGTAAAATTCAACAATTTCCGCCAACAACAATTTATTCACCAGAAATTTTATTTATCTTCAGCCAAAATCAAATAAAATCTTTTCACCATTCAAAACTTTCATGTCATTTTGCCAATCTTTCTTTATTTCATTTCATTCCTTTTTTTTTTTTCATTCTTTGTCTTTACATTTTCTTTTTCTCTTTCTTTTTTCTTTTTCTTTCAGCCATACTTTTTTAAAGAATTTTTTTCTCTCCAAAACTTTCTTTTCTTCGAAATTGCATTTTTGAACTTCTTTTCTTTTTTTTTTTTTTCCACATATAACAATATTCAAATTCCTTTTTTCTTTCTTTTAAAATTTTTTTCATTTATTTTTTTCTTTTATATTTATCTTTTTTTCCTTCTTTTTTCTTTCAGGATCTTATATATTTTTTTTTTTCCTTTTTTTCTCTCTCTTTTTTTTTTTTTTTCTTTCTTTTTTATTTTTCTTTCTTTTTTCTCTTTCTTTCTTTCTTTTTTTTTTCTTTTTTTATATATTTCTTTCTTTTCTTCTTTCTTTCTCTTTCCTTTTTTTATTTCTCTTTCTATATATATTTCTTTCTTTTCCTTTTCTTTTTCTTTTTTTCTATTTTTTTCTTTTCTTCCAATATATCTTTTTTCTTTTCTTTCCTTTTCTTTTTTTCTCTTTTTTTTTTCTCTTTCTTTCTTTCTCCTTCTTTCTTTCCTTCTCTTTTTTTTCCTTCTTTTTTCTTTTCATATCAAATTCTTCTTTTATTTTTTCTTTTTCTTTCCTTCTCTTTCTCTCTCCTACTTTTTTTCTTTTCTCTTTCTATATATATTTCTTTCTTTCCTTCTCTTTCTCTCTCCTTTTTTTTTTTTCTCTTTCTATATATATTTCTTTCTTTCCTTCTCTTTCTCTCTCCTTCTTTTTTCTTTTCTCTTTCTATATATATTTCTTTCTTTCCTTCTCTTTCTCTATTTCATTTGCTCTCTCCTTATTACTTTCTTTTTCTCTAAATAAATTTATTATCTTTTTCTTCCTTTCTTTTTCAGTTTCACTATAACCAGCTCTTTCTTTTCCATCTCTCACTTATCTCACCCAATTTCTTTATCTATTTCTGTCACTAATTACTTTTCTCTCTTTTTCTCTCTAAATTTCTATACCTCTCTTTTTTTTCGCTCTCTCGTAAGAAAAGGAAAGATGCTTTTTCTTTTTACATCTGTTTTGATTTCTCGTTATCTCTCCTTCCATTACTTTCTTTTTCTTTCTATCCAGCTCCTTAATACTTTTTCTGGTTTTTCTAACATTCCAACTCTATCTCATCTTCTCGTTCTTTCTCTCCCTCTCTTTATCTCTTCCTTCCCTTTTTCGAACTCTCTCTATTTCATTCTATCGTTTCACCTCTCTCTAAATCTTTCTCTTCTTCTCGCTCGCATTCTCTTTTTCCTTCTCAATCGTTTTATCTATTAATCTTTTTATTTATGTATCTCTATCCATCGCTTTCTCTTTCTTTGTTATATATATATATAAATATATATATATGTTATAATTATATTTAAAATATATATATATGCAAACATATATAGATATATATATTTCTCCATTTCTAACTCCTTCTCTCTTACTCACTCTCTCTTTCTCTCTCTCTCTCTCTCTCTATCTATCTATCTATCTCTTTCTCTATCTAGCTCTAAAATCTGCAATATTCATGTCATAAGACGAGGATCGCTTTATAATACTTACAATATTCCCGGTATGAAAGCTTAATATGTAAATTATTTTTTTTAATTGTGTCATTTTCGTTGTGTTTTATTTATTTTTCACGTCCATTGATTGTTTGTAACTCCGCAAGATATGAGATAAAATTTCATTTTGATTTTTTCTACCTTTGTTTTTGTATTTCTTTTTTCTTTTTTTTTTCAAAAGACATTTTTATAGATCGATATATAAATTATCGCACTCATTTTAAGAGGGTGGGCTGAAAATTTCATTGGCTGCCTATGAAGGAGTGATGCTATAACTGTGAAATCTTGCTTGCAATATTTTCCATTCTTCTTATAAATAACTGCATTGCTTGTATTTCGTTACGAGAGTGGGCTGAAATGTTCATAGGCTGACTATGAAGGAGTGATGCTAGAGCTGTGAAACCTTGCCTGCATTCATTTTGACTCTTCTTATTAAGAACTACATTGTTTCTTACCAGGTACGAGGTGTTGTTGTAAAGTTCATAGGCTGACTATGAAGGAGTGTAGCTAGAGCTGTGAAATCTTGCATGCATTAATTGCAACTCTTCTTATTAATAACTGCATTGTTTCTTTACATGTACGAGGTTGGGTTGAAAAGTTCGTAGGTCGACGGTGAAACACTGATTTTTAGAGCTGTGAAATCTTGCAGGCATTAATTTCAACTCTTCTTCTTCTTAACTTCATTGTTTCTTTCCAGGTATGAGGGTAGTTGTTGATTTTCAATCTTAGTGGGTATGATTATTTATTGTGTGAAAATTCAAAATTGTTGCACAAGGCCGAAGGGGGGGGGGGGTAAGGCCGTTCAAGATTAATTGTTCTAGACCTATAACTAATCAGATACCCGACCCATTCATTCATTACAATTTACTTATTCACCAAGAGAACTCACCAATCATTATTGAATGCCACATATACTACAATAACACATCTTCAGAGCAAATCTACAATACGCCCCTTGGCATAAAAATTTGAATAGTTATAAATGTCTTCTTTTTTTTCTCATAAAAATATGAAAAATAATTCATGAAATGCGAGGAGAGGGAATGGACCCCCAAAACAAAACAAGACAAAATTGTAATAAAACAAAAACATTCAAACAAAACCATATGTTAGTATCACCCACCCACCGTCAAAAATAATAAGAGCTAAAAAGAGAATCAAGAAACCTTCTCACAAATGAAATGGAAAGGCAAAATAGAGCATCGAGTGAGAAAATTGAAGACTGACCCAGTCAAGATAAAAAATAAAACAATGAACAAAACAAACTTGGGAGGTTGGGAATCTCGACATGGATCATAACAAAAGAGAATGCCGGATACAGGCCGGGAAAAAACACTCATATTCATTAGGTTAACAAATAGAGTCTAACCTAGCCGCCCCGTTGTGTCAAAAATAAAAAACTAGCCCCATTCACACGAAACATGCTTGCCACAGTTAACGACCTTACGTTAAAATCTGTCGAGAACAAACGCTTTCTAGATGAAGAGAATAGCATTTATATCTTTCTGAGATGAGTTATCATGTATTACGTGCCTTAACCAGGTATTGAACTCACACTCTTTGGGTCCTGTCACTGGATCTAACTAACGCCTTTATCCACTATGCCATGTTTCCTTGAGGGCATGCTCGTATGAATTTCTGGGTATTATAAATTTTCCAATGGTGCAATTGGTCTATGATCAGAGACAAAGAACATCATTGTCGTGTCTATGAAGACGTTTCTATGGTCTGAATAACCTAACCAGTTGAACAGTGGATAAAGGCAGTGAAGAACATAGAGGGGGGAATTAACAGGAGATAGCTGATGGTAACTGGCATCCATTAAACTTGGTACGTGGAACTTGAACAGTCTACCCCAGTGAGTGAAATAAGGGGTTCAGTTCGATATTCCAAACACCGGAAGAATGCCGGAGCGTACAACGGCCGAAAATATGGCGACAAAGATGAGGACAATAGTCCGAATAATGTAAATAGTGAGCATTCGTATCGTAAGATTTCTTTCATCCACACCATCATTCTTACCACGATAGTAACACCAGAATAGCAGCTGTTTCACCCCCGAGAACGGGGGTGACACATTATCGAACGCGTATGCGAGAACGATGAAAAAGAGATGTTCGCAATCGTTACTAGCCGTCAACTCACCGATATAATCCCAGAACGAATCTACATGAGGACAATGGTAAAAGCTTTTTCCTCTAGACCAAGGTCACACCGATGGCAGTTGAGTAAATTCGCCCAGCTCCTTCTAAAGACTACGTCACTGAGAGATAATACGTTCCGAATCAATCGCCATGTAAGCGAAATTAATGGTTACTGATTTAATCCACCGTTGGCGCCCAAGGCCAGAAATAGACATGCCGAGCCGCCCACATAGAGGATCTTTCGCCACCCCTTCCACTAGTTCACGATACAATAGTCTACGAGGCCGTGAAAGGTCTCTGAACCGAGGAATGATATTCAAGACCGCCCCACACTCACGGAGAAATCTCGATTAATTCCGGGGCCTAAGATCGCGCTCAGCACTAGAAACGGAAGGAATGATGGTAAGGAAAGACGGCCCTAAAATTCCCCTCCAAAAATCGAGTCCTCTGTCAACACGCAGTGCAGGAAATTTAACTTCGATATATGCCGATGACTCATCAAGGGTGGCATTCCTTGTACCCCCACGACACGGACGTTGGACAACGACCTCGCTAGAGACCAGATGATTACGAACACGGCACAAGAGTGAGTACAACAAGCCCTCGAGCGCTTTCTAACGTCTTGCAGAGAGAAAGTATAGACAATTGATAAAGGATAAGAGGAAAGACGTAAGTGACAGACGCCTCAGTCCTACCCTTTACGAACTGCCGCAATCGCAGCCAAGTAAGTATCGCCGCTCCCATCTTTATTCTTCTTCAACGAGAGCCCGTGTCTGAACGGCACTCCAAAAGTGCAGAAGGGTCCATCTGTCCAAATATGGTCCCCCAGAAGCACGATCTGCTTCCAGGCACCTAACCTCAAGCCGGAAGTTTTGTTGGCTCTCGTCTCCATCTTGTACCGTACAAGCGCCTTCTGTAACAACTTAATGTCGCCGCGGCACGACACGAAAATGGATACGTCATCGGTGTATGCGGAAACTCTGGCTCAAGAAGCTATAGGACAGCAATTTCACCTAGGGCGAGACAGCATGCCCTGTTCCTCAGCCGGCGAAGACGTGTCTATGGTCTGAATAACCTAACCAGATGAACGTGGGCAATCTAGAAAATCTAGATCGACCCTCCTTAGTAATATTATATCCATGTAGCTGTAAACGGCGACTGAAGAATGCACGTCCACATCTCCCCCTTTGGATGATAGACTCGCTATCTATCGATGAGCCCCAAATCGCTGATCAGATCAACCAAACTACGGTCGACGGATCTCCCGCTAGCTTCCCGCCTCCTGGCTAATTTGTTATCCAGGACGGCATTCCGATACCGCATTACGACTAAGCTCGACGTATCCACGAAAACAGCCCCAGCCGACGGAAAATGGAGACAAGCTGCATCTGATCGTTGAGCACATAAAGCGCGACCCGCCAAAACGAACTATTGCTCACAACAATATCTGCCACAATCAATCGCACCCCCACTCGACATAGACAAGTTCCATCTTCGCCGCCAGGTTCGTTTAAGCAGCAAGGAAATACCTCTGGTCAGCTGGTCCCCGTATGCTGAATAGACGATAAAGTCGCTAGACAGTACACGATCATCGGCATCGTAAATAAAATGTGTCTCCTGGATCGAGACCACATCTACACCGAAGGACAAGAGATCAAGAAGCGGTCGGGAAGCCTCATTCCAAATTTTCATACACCTTGCATTTAAACTAACTAGATTGACATTCTTTAAATTTGGTCCATTACACGCAGACAGGACGTACGAGTTTGTCTGTGACAATACCGCGGACGTCCGTCAGGAAAGTTAATTTCAAGAGGGGTGAAAAACTCCAGTATCAATCGTCCATTGTTATCTTATGAACATTTCAGCCCACTTTCGTACCTGATAACAAACAATGCAGTTATTAATAAGAAGAATTGTAATTAAAGTATGCAAGATTTCACAGCTATAGTATTACACATTCATAGAAAAAAAACAATGCAATTCTTAATAAGAAGAAATGAAATTAATACATGCAAGATTTTACAGATATAACTCCTTCATAGTCAGCCTATGAAATTCTCAGCCCAGCCTCGGTCCTGGAAAGAAACAATGCAGTTATTAGTAAGAATTGAAATTAATATATGCAAGATTTCACAGCTATAGTATCACTCCTTCATAGTCAGCCTATGAAATTTTCAGCCCAGCTTCGTATGTAAAAACTTAAATATGACAGTGGGAGAAAGTATAAGTACAGCGTTCCATCCTTGAGAAGATATTCTTTAGTTTAACCCTATCAGCCCCTCTATTCCTGAACAATTTTAATCCTTCTACCGAGCTCCTGCGTCAAATTGCGAAAATAATTTTTATGTAATCTTTCACCGCGGATATATAAAAAATAGTTTAGCTCAACCGGTGGCTGGGCATTAAGTCCTTTTTCTTTACCACTGTTCAACCGGTGGCTGGGCATTAAGTCATTTTTCTTTACCACTGTTCAACCGGTGGCTGGGCATTAAGTCATTTTTCTTTACCACTGTTCAACCGGTGGCTGGGCATTAAGTCATTTTTCTTTACCACTGTTCAACCGGTGGCTGGGCATTAAGTCCTTTTTCTTTACCACTGTTCAACCGGTGGTTGGGCATTAAGTCATTTTTCTTTACCACTGTTCAACCGGTGGCTGGGCATTAAGTCATTTTTCTTTACCACTGTTCAACCGGTGGCTGGGCATTAAGTCATTTTTCTTTACCACTGTTCAACCGGTGGCTGGGCATTAAGTCCTTTTTCTTTACCACTGTTCAACCGGTGGCTGGGCATTAAGTCATTTTCTTTACCACTGTTCAACCGGTGGTTGGGCATTAAGTCATTTTCTTTACCACTGTTCAACCGGTGGTTGGGCATTAAGTCATTTTTTTCTTTACGACTGTTCAACCGGTGGCTGGGCATTAAGTCATTTTTTTACCACTGTTCAACCGGTGGCTGGGCATTAAGTCATTTTTCTTTACCACTGTTCAACCGGTGGCTGGGCATTAAGTCATTTTTCTTTACCACTGTTCAACCGGTGGCTGGGCATTAAGTCATTTTTCTTTATGACTGTTCAACCGGTGGTTGGGCATTAAGTCATTTTTCTTTACCACTGTTCAACCGGTGGCTGGGCATTAAGTCCTTTTTCTTTTACCACTGTTCAACCGGTGGCTGGGCATTAAGTCATTTTTCTTTATGACTGTTCAACCGGTGGTTGGGCATTAAGTCATTTTTCTTTACCACTGTTCAACCGGTGGCTGGGCATTAAGTCCTTTTTTCTTTACCACTGTTCAACCGGTGGTTGGGCATTAAGTCATTTTTCTTTACCACTGTTCAACCGGTGGCTGGGCATTAAGTCATTTTTCTTTACCACTGTTCAACCGGTGGCTGGGCATTAAGTCATTTTTTCTTTACCACTGTTCAACCGGTGGCTGGGCATTAAGTCATTTTTCTTTATGACTGTTCAACCGGTGGTTGGGCATTAAGTCATTTTCTTTTACCACTGTTCAACCGGTGGCTGGGCATTAAGTCCTTTTTCTTTACCACTGTTCTACCGGTGGCTGGGCATTAAGTCATTTTTTTTTACGACTGTTCAACCGGTGGTTGGGCATTAAGTCATTTTTCTTTACCACTGTTCAACCGGTGGCTGGGCATTAAGTCCTTTTTTTTTACCACTGTTCAACCGGTGGCTGGGCATTAAGTCATTTTTCTTTACCACTGTTCAACCGGTGGCTGGGCATTAAGTCATTTTTCTTTACCACTGTTCAACCAGTGGCTGGGCATTAAGTCCTTTTTCTTTACCACTGTTCAACCGGTGGCTGGGCATTAAGTCCTTTTTCTTTACCACTGTTCAACCGGTGGCTGGGCATTAAGTCATTTTTCTTTACCACTGTTCAACCGGTGGCTGGGCATTAAGTCATTTTTCTTTTTACCACTGTTCAACCGGTGGCTGGGCATTAAGTCCTTTTTCTTTACCACTGTTCAACCGGTGGTTGGGCATTAAGTCATTTTTCTTTACCACTGTTCAACCGGTTTTAGTCATTTTTCTTTACCACTGTTCAACCGGTGGCTGGGCATTAAGTCCTTTTTCTTTACCACTGTTCAACCGGTGGCTGGGCATTAAGTCATTTTCTTTACCACTGTTCAACTGGTGGCTGGGCATTAAGTCATTTTTTCTTTACCACTGTTCAACCGGTGGCTGGGCATTAAGTCATTTTTCTTTATGACTGTTCAACCGGTCATTTCATTTTTCTTTACCACTGTTCAACCGGTGGCTGGGCATTAAGTCCTTTTTCTTTACCACTGTTCAACCGGTGGCTGGGCATTAAGTCATTTTTCTTTACCACTGTTCAACCGGTGGCTGGGCATTAAGTCATTTTTCTTTACCACTGTTCAACCGGTGGCTGGGCATTAAGTCATTTTTCTTTATGACTGTTCAACCGGTGGTTGGGCATTAAGTCATTTTTCTTTACCACTGTTCAACCGGTGGCTGGGCATTAAGTCCTTTTTCTTTACCACTGTTCAACCGGTGGCTGGGCATTAAGTCATTTTTCTTTACCACTGTTCAACCGGTGGCTGGGCATTAAGTCATTTTTCTTTACCACTGTTCAACCGGTGGCTGGGCATTAAGTCATTTTCTTTACCACTGTTCAACCGGTGGCTGGGCATTAAGTCCTTTTTTTTTTACCACTGTTCAACCGGTGGCTGGGCATTAAGTCCTTTTTCTTTACCACTGTTCAACCGGTGGCTGGGCATTAAGTCATTTTTCTTTATGACTGTTCAACCGGTGGTTGGGCATTAAGTCATTTTTCTTACCACTGTTCAACCGGTGGTTGGGCATTAAGTCATTTTCTTTACCACTGTTCAACCGGTGGTTGGGCATTAAGTCCTTTTTCTTTACCACTGTTCAACCGGTGGCTGGGCATTAAGTCATTTTCTTTACCACTGTTCAACCGGTGGCTGGGCATTAAGTCATTTTTCTTTACCACTGTTCAACCGGTGGCTGGGCATTAAGTCATTTTTCTTTACCACTGTTCAACCGGTGGTTGGGCATTAAGTCATTTTTCTTTACCACTGTTCAACCGGTGGCTTGGGCATTAAGTCCTTTTTCTTTATGACTGTTCAACCGGTGGTTGGGCATTAAGTCATTTTTCTTTACCACTGTTCAACCGGTGGCTGGGCATTAAGTCCTTTTTTCTTACCACTGTTCAACCGGTGGCTGGGCATTAAGTCATTTTTCTTTACCACTGTTCAACCGGTGGCTGGGCATTAAGTCATTTTTTCTTTACCACTGTTCAACCGGTGGCTGGGCATTAAGTCATTTTTCTTTATAACTGTTCAACCGGTGGTTGGGCATTAAGTCATTTTTCTTACCACTGTTCAACCGGTGGCTGGGCATTAAGTCCTTTTTCTTTACCACTGTTCAACCGGTGGCTGGGCATTAAGTCATTTTTCTTTACCACTGTTCAACCGGTGGTTGGGCATTAAGTCATTTTTCTTTACCACTGTTCAACCGGTGGCTGGGCATTAAGTCCTTTTTTCTTTACCACTGTTCAACCGGTGGTTGGGCATTAAGTCATTTTTCTTTACCACTGTTCAACCGGTGGCTGGGCATTAAGTCATTTTTCTTACCACTGTTCAACCGGTGGCTGGGCATTAAGTCCTTTTTCTTTACCACTGTTCAACCGGTGGTTGGGCATTAAGTCATTTTTCTTTACCACTGTTCAACCGGTGGCTGGGCATTAAGTCCTTTTTCTTTACCACTGTTCAACCGGTGGCTGGGCATTAAGTCATTTTTCTTTACGACTGTTCAACCGGTGGTTGGGCATTAAGTCATTTTTTCTTACCACTGTTCAACCGGTGGCTGGGCATTAAGTCCTTTTTCTTTACCACTGTTCAACCGGTGGCTGGGCATTAAGTCATTTTTTCTTTACCACTGTTCAACCGGTGGCTGGGCATTAAGTCCTTTTTCTTTACCACTGTTCAACCGGTGGTTGGGCATTAAGTCATTTTTCTTTACCACTGTTCAACCGGTGGCTGGGCATTAAGTCATTTTTTTCTTTATGACTGTTCAACCGGTGGTTGGGCATTAAGTCATTTTCTTTACCACTGTTCAACCGGTGGCTGGGCATTAAGTCCTTTTTCTTTACCACTGTTCAACCGGTGGCTGGGCATTAAGTCATTTTTCTTTACGACTGTTCAACCGGTGGTTGGGCATTAAGTCATTTTTCTTTACCACTGTTCAACCGGTGGCTGGGCATTAAGTCCTTTTTCTTTACCACTGTTCAACCGGTGGTTGGGCATTAAGTCATTTTTCTTTACCACTGTTCAAAGTATTACCAGGAGGGAAAAAGAAAGAGAAAACTTTAGTGAGAAGCCGGACAGTAAAAGAACAGGTTTCAGTAAGACATAAGATGGCGATTCGCATTGCATTTAAAGTTTTAAAGTTTGTGGATTACAGGGAAGCAAGAAATTGTAGGAGAGGGAGGCCATATCATAGCGGTGAAAAAGTGACGTGGATTCCTTCTGCTGAGATGCCAGGTCAGGACCCATAATATTATAGACCTTTCTGTGTTTATTTTTAAAGAAAGCAAACGCAACAGCTTCGGTTGAAATTCGAACTCACCTCCCCAGAGTTAATTTCGAGGCGTATACGTTCCTCCCTCTCTCTCATTCTCTACCTATCTATCTAGCTCATTCTGTTCATATCTATCTATCTATCTATCTATCTATCTATCTATAAACATGACAATAGTATATTTGAAATTAATAAGCTTACAACTATTTAGCCAGGAATATGAATATAGCAGAAAGAATGGGGAAAATACATACGAAAGATGCCTATAGCAAGAATGATGTCCAAATAAGCTACAATTTTTAAGTTAGATGATATATATATATCTTGAACCCCAGAAACTTTAATGCATAAATGATGTTTCTGTAGTTTAATAGCGAGTAGACCATTGCTATTAAGAACATAAACTTGTCCATCATCTCTATATAGACCTAACTGCTTCGGATCTACGATTCTACTAAGGATCTCAAGAATATAAAATCAAACCAGCTCAGCAACCTGGGCCGAATCGTACGTTCCCATTGGGACGTCAAAGCCATCACTCTTGCATTTACTCCCTGGTAATCAGTAATGTCAAATTTAATAAAAGTGGCTTTCTTTTTAGCACTTATAATACTGAACCATTTAATGCTATCAGAAGAGTATTTCCAAACGTTTGCTCCGGTAGTAATCACAAGTTTTAATAATAGTTTTAGAGATTAAGCCTAGCTTTGATTTAGTAGGATTTATTAGTCTATTTTGTAGATTATTGGCCAAGTGTATGTTATTTAAAGTTTCTGGGGTTCAAGATAGATCATCTAACTTAAAAATTGTAGCTTATTTGGACAACATTCTTGATTTTAACACCAATACATCTAGACCCTACCATAAAGATCATATAACTTCTAATTAAATTCATGTAGACTCAAACCACCCTGATACGATTTTAAGACAGATACCTATCACCGTTGAAACTAGGATTAGTAAACTTTCTTCTAATAAATATATATATTAAGAATTAAAAAATACTTGTACGATAAGGCACCCCAAAAAAGTGGTTTTAAGAATAAACTTTCGTACTTGAACCCTACAAATACCGCCGATGTAAATAATAATAATAATAATAATAATACGCTTAGAAATAGAAAAAGAAGTGCTGGTTATCTAAAATTAACATAGGACAAGTGTTCTTAAAACTTACTGTTATCTTCCGTGCTAATAGAAATATATACTTGAAAAACAAGGTGGATAAGTAAAGGTTTATTGTAAAAAAACAGTACAATAAGAATAAAGGTAACAGTTATGCACAAGGTCATCGCAAGTCAATCTAGTAGTGATTGCTACTATTGGAAGGTCTGAGTTGTACTCAACAGATCGACTAGTCAATATTTACTAGCCTCCCCCACTACGAGGATAGATGTGGCACAAGGCTGAGTTTAACCTAGGTCATCCGAGCCGGTAGGCTCGGCTAAAAATTCCCCGTAGAACCCGCATAAACGGGTTCGGGTCTGTCTGCCTCCCCGGACGACACTCTTCTCTTCGGCATAGCCTCGCCCAGTTTCGTCTCTGCCCGAAGGCAGAGAGTTCGACAGCACAGCTGGAACAGATCCCAGCTAGTCTCCGTAGTCCGCTGACTTACAGATACTTATAGTTAGTTACTACCTATAGTGTAGTCACTCATGGGGGTTACAGGTTATTCTATTACATCATTTATAAACAAACATTTAAAAAATAACCCCCTCTAAGTGGAGCTTTCAATAGAAAAACGACTAAAATAAGTTATTTTACAAATACAAATAATATGTTTAAAATAATCGAATCCCATAAAGTTTGTTCTTAATAAATTCTGTGGCATCAACAATTCACTTAGCATGGATACGCTATGTAATTGTAGAAATGGCGATCTCTGTAAAATGCAGATCCTCTAATGTAATTTACCAAGCAAAAATTACCCTAAAGAGAACAAGAACACACAAAATATTTGTATTGGAATTTCCGCGGTTGAATGGAAGCAACGTCTGTATAACCATCGGTACTCATTTTCCAACCCAAAATTAAAATTTCAAACTGCAACTTACAAAAGAGTTTGAGAGTTAAAGGGAAAAGAACTAAACTCTCAGGTTGACTGGAAAATTATAGGGTTTGCCCACATTCCTAGAAGTTTTAAGGATAGATCCAATCTATGCCTACAAGGAAAAATCAAAATTATTAAATTTAGAAATCCAAAGATATTATTAAACCAAAAGAATGAACTATTTTCTAAATTCCGCCACCACAGTAGATTTAAACTTATCTAAACCCTTAACGAACTTGATTGAATTATCATCCGTCGGAAATTACCTGCTCCTCTTCAGTCCTGACCGTACTTTAGTGAACTTTTATCCTTTAACAAGTATAGGAACTGCTGTCTTTAACAATTACATTATATATTCCAGTTATCCTCTTTTTACATATATCCTTTCCAAATTTCTCTTTCTGTTACAATTGCAATGTTATTTTGCTTCTCATCCTTTCTTTATGTTTCCCATATTTCTCTTCTCTTACAATTTACAAATATACCCTTTCTTTATCACTAAATTACTATTAATTCTTGGTGACTATCAATAATATCTTTAATATTACACTTATTAACATTATTTTTCCATTCTTATCACCTTAAGATATCTTTATTGATTTATCCTGAATTTTCTTTTATATAGGTATTATACTTTCACTATAATAGTATATATTAATAATAATATACCTTAATATAGCGTTTGAGTTAATTTGTTATTATGTAATAATACATTATTACATGTTTTTATAAGCTCTATTCCATATATTAGATTGTATTATTTTATATTAATTTTTTTTTTAATTTTTTATATTTATCCTCATTCAGTTGAATGTTGAATTTTAAGTATTTATTAATTTTTAACATTCTGGGACTTTTTAGATTTTACATTTGGTGCATATGTTAATATATAATATTGATGTGTAGTATTAAATTTTTGTATTAATATAATGTATTATGAGGTTTGATGAAGTGGCATTTGAATATTTATCTTATTATACGTTCTATATATATTTTTCTTCTTCTTCTTCTTCTTCTTCTTCTTATTATTATTATTATTATTATATAATTATTATTATTATTTTTTTGGTTTTGCATTAAAATTCTTTTTATTTCTGTTAAGGATTTTTTGCGTTATTTTGTATTTGTTCATTTATTTAAAAGTTGTTTTTTGTTTCTATTATTTCATTAATGTATTTTTATATTATATTTATATGATATTTTATATTCTATATTGATTCTTAAGGCATCTTTTAATCCTCTTATTCTTAAGGCACTTTTCATTCATTTATTTTTCAAATTTAAACTTGTTTTTACTTTTTATTTATATTTTTTAAGCATTTTACCGCAAGCAAGGTGGGTGAGCCACTAACATTCAAGGGGTACAGAAAGTGGGAGCAAAAGTGAAGAGGTGTAAAAGAGAAAAGGATGAAAAGAATGACGGGGAATAGATGAAGGCATCTGAAGATGTAGATTGACATTGCATTTGAATAATTGAAGCGAAGCAAGTAAGAGGAAAGGAGTTCCACATACGGGAAGTGCGAGACATTAATCTATTGAAGTAGAAGAGACGGTTAAATTTAACAGTTAGATCAATCCTGTAAATTTAATTTTACAAGGAGAAAATGGTCATATTACATAATGGCATCTTAATTCCGAGTGTATGACATACATATATATATATATATATATGTGTGTGTGTGTGTGTGTGTGTGTGTGTGTGTGTGTGTGTGTGTGTGTTTGTGTGTATATATATATATATATATATATATATATATATATATATTAGGGATATGTTAGAGACCACCCAAAAAGACGCGATACGTAAAGTTTAAAATGATTTTTTTAAAAATGAAAATCTTTCTTGAAGCTTTTATTTAATTTTAATTTCAAGGTGAAAATGGTCATTTACATATATATATATATATATATATATATATATATATATATATATATATATATATGAAGAAATATAGTTTTAAGATGTGCTATATTTATGGGATAAAGTGCTCAATATTAGAGATAGAGCGTGTGTAAATATAAAAGTGAACATAGAAGTCAACACTTAGAGGCGACAGTCTGTTTCATGCTAGATGCAATCGTCAAGCCACGAGTGCTCTCTCTCTCTCTCTCTCTATATATATATATATATATATATATATATATATATATAAAGAATATTTAAATTGTTTTTCTTAAAATAAATGATTAACGCCCTTTTTTAGTCGCCTTTTATCGCATTGTCATTCTCTTTATTAAAAAAAATCTTGCAAAAATAAAATATACTTTTCTGAAACTTTATTTGAGAAATATTAATTGATTTAAAGTATAATTAACTCGATTTGAAACAAATATTTTTTTCTTTAAGCTTAAAATATCGCAGTAATGCATTTTTAACACGACCATATTTGTTTTGACATGTTGACAGCTTGATGACATCTAATATTGTTCTATGGAGACTATCTGTAAAACATATTTGAACAAAATAATGCAAGCACCTTTTTGATCTAATTTTTAACCCATAGCTAGGGGAGAAGACATGGATTCATTCCCTTAGCCACTGGACAGACCAGCAGGATTTTTGATATTCAAAGACAACAGACATAAGAATTTGACCACAAAACCAAGAAAAATTAGTATTCAAACTTCATTACTGTTTACAAAGAATTTGGGTCTTATATAATACACCATACAACCAAATAATCAAAATACTAAAAAACATTTATGTTCCGTGCCACATATCACACACCAAACAAAACAAGTCTATAAATTTATTAATACAATTACATAAATGTTATGGTCCGGTTCCTTGTACGACGGTGATAGTCCAAGGTAGAACTAATAAAGAAGAACTCGAATATGGATATGAAATAACACAGATATATTACAAACAGGAATATATACAGAGAGGTAGAAAGTGTTAAAACGAAAAATCAGGTATAGTAGGGAGAACAATGTAGTCTCGACCAGTATCACTATTCCAATGTCTTGCAGTAATTGTCTGAACGCGACTCTGTTTCGGACTGCCTCTGACTCGACTGACTGACTCGCTCGCTCTCACTGACTGACAGACTCCTGACGGACTTCTCTCCAGACTTCAGACTGAACAGTATTTACTCACCCTCCCCCACGAGGG